ATTAAGAATGAACACGGACTGAAAAGGTAGTAATTACTAGAAATCATATACTCTTGTTAAATGATATATATGAAAAATGTAGCAGAAAAGCCCAGGACTACTAACTAATTCTATCTGCAGCTGTTATTTGGTAATGAATACTCGAAGACAACTTCAGTCCAAGCATGTTCTTCTGTGCTTTGCCTGTGCTTACTTTCATTGTGCTTAAAAGTATTAGTCACAAGTTGTCAATAAACTACTTTTAAAGCCTACTTGCTCACACACTTTTCTGCCTCGGCTTAATTTTTCTCCCCCCCCCCCCCCCCCCCCCCTTTTTTTTTTTTCCTTTTGTTTTTTCTTTTAAGGTTCCACTGAGTACAAATGCTCTTACAAATTTACAAGGAGGTATTTCATACCAGAGTAGCCTTATCTTTACAAAAGATATAAAAGCAAATAAGAACGCAGCACTTAGATACCACTTTTCATCCCTTGATCTCAGAGCACTTCACAGAACTGGGCAAGTATTACCGTCACCGCTCTCAGAAAAGGATACGCCAAGCCCCTTACGTGACTTGTCAAAGACCACAGGCCACGGGAGCCAACTTGTTCCCTCCATGGCCCTAGGGAAGGTTATGTTCAGCAAACAGCTACCACCATGCCAACAAACAAATTAATAAATAACGATTCATTATTTCCATCACTTCCCTATCTCTTCTTTATTACTCAGAGTATAATCCCCAGTTCGGGTTTTATAGCCAAATGCAGCAAGAGGCCACGCAATTCGTTCAGACACGGAAAAGATACAGTAAAACTTGGCTTCCTGTAATACCCCCCTGCCAGGGAGGATGGTTTTCTCAAGACTATTAGGTATTAGGCATTCTCTCAACTACCATAGCTGCAATTAGATGCATTTTTAAGCATCCCATTAGTGGGAAGTATTGCTGTGTTTCCAGGTAAAGTCACCTCATACAGTAATAATTAGCTCAGGAAGTACTTTATTCCCCGATACCCCAGGAGCCAGAATTGACAGTAAGTGCAGGAGGTCCGACACCGCTCAGACTGGCAACTTCCCTGGGTTTCCACTCACGGACTCAGAGGTGCTAACATGGCTGCACAGGACATCGTAATTGCATTAGTTTTGTTTGGAGGTGTTTTGGGGTTTCTTTTCTTACAGAATTACAAAATCATGGAATTGAGGCTTTCTGCATTAGGCATGCTGCACTGTATAAAGCACCGACTGTCGTACTCTGCCAAAATAAATCAGCTGCCGTCGCTAGGAGCGGATTCATTAGGACCCAAAGGAAACTGTATCAGTAAGCTGCTTCTAGGTACTTCTGAGCTCAGAAAAATGCCAGCACATTGTCAAGGAACCTTGGGGAAACAGTCCGTAAAACTCTTTACCAACCAGTTCCTGATGACACCCTTATTTTCTTATTTATGGCAGAATGATCACTGTGAAAAGCTTGAAGGTGAGGAAAGAAAAAAGACAGAAAGAATAAAGGGAAAAGAAAGAAAAAAAATAAAAAAGTAAAGGAAAAAAGAAAATAACTTAAAAATTGAAAAAGGAGAAAGAAAAAATAAGAGAAAGAAAAAGAAAGAAAATGGGAACCATATACAATAACTGTAAAATATAGCAAGGAAGGATTTTAGCACCCATAAGCATATCCCTACCACTACTTTTAACAGGGGTTACAAAGAAAGAAGCCTAGGATTTATTAGAGGAAAAAAAAGTTGCAAACCCATTCTGACCTCAGAGAGCATGATTTTTCTGAACTCTCTTGACAATATCACTTAGAACTTAATGGTAACGGAGAGGGAGGGACCGCGCCGTGCCTGCTCCAGAAGCAGACACGTTACGCGCCGTGCCGAAGCAGGGCTTGTCCCTAAGCGACACCGAACAGTCAGCTCCTCAGAGCAGGAAAGCGAGGCCCATGCTAATGATGAACACTGTATTGGCATCAGAACAGCACCTCAACCGTTTGCACGGGGCCCAAAACCAGTAGGCACCAACGCTTCAGCTGTAAGCCTGTGCTCCCCTCATCAATGTTCTGTCCCCGGCTTGATCGCCCTGAAGACCAGGGCCTCCAGTCTCTCCTCTCTCTGCACTCGCAAGAGGCAGGGGCTGGGGGCAGGCACCCTCTCACCCCTCCATCCCCTCTGTCCCGGCAGCACTTCTCCATCTTCCCCATGTGTGGGGTTAGGGGGGGTCCTGGGAAAGGGGAGGGAGGGAAGGGAAGGCTACAGTGAGTCAAGAAGTCAAAGAGAACAAGGAGAAGAGGGTGTCACCCCCTCCAGCAACGTCTTGTTACAAAAGCCTTGAAGAAAAAGACGTCTCCTCCTCTCTCCTTCATCCCTCCCTGCCTCCCAACAAATCCTGTTCAACTGAGGAGCACAGGGTTAGCAGAGGAGAAGGGGACAGGGAGAGGAGAGAGGCCCCAGCCCCTATGTCCTGCCCTGATAAAGCCATTACACCCTTACCCAAAAGCCTCAGCAGCATTGTTTGTGCTGCTGTGTGGTACCATATTCACCCTAACTGTGCAAAATTCACCCTAGCAGCTGGCCAAGGATTTTTCCATTCCAGCAAATATGCCAACGTTATAATACTATATAAACTATAGCAAATACAGCAACATTTTCTATGGGAAAATATCCGTTTATTGGAGATTTTTCATTTACTGCCAGGACAATTGGAAGATATTACTTCAGGTGGATTAGATACAGCAGAATATATTTTTTAAAGTCAACCCAATAGCACACTGTAGTTCTTTACCCTGGCAGCTCCCTGTTCCTGGGTCAGATGCTCATTCCCTTCCAGGAATGGGGCTTTTCAGGCAGCTTCGCATCCCAGAATACAAAGCAGGTTTCCTTGTAACGAAGCTCTCCAGTGCCTCTTGGACATTTAATTATGGGAGAAGGGTCTCTGATAATGAAATGGGAACATCACGCTCCTGAACTATAACTTCTGAAAAGCAATACACTGTGGTAGGGAAATGCAATTTAATTTTGAACTGACTCAGGAATTTCCCATGGAACATTAATTCTATTTTCTGTTCACCTCTGAATGTCAGTCTATTTTTCTCTTGCAGTTTAGGAAGCTTATTAAAGGTGCAGCAAACCTCTACTTCCAAATCTGTGGATTCCTCCTCCCTCCTGCCTTCTGCCATAGCCCTGGGAAGGGTACATCTGAAAACAGAAGCCTATTGTGCCAAGCCTTATCAGAAGCGATGGAACTGCTACCGAGATACCTAACACAGAAAAATAATAAAGGTACTTCCATCCCCCTTCAGGGTTGCAGGGGCTCTGAGAGCTCACCCGACTTGCCTGAAGCTGCACAGGATCCTGTGCAAGAGCCGGAAACTAACCACAGCTTTATTAAGCCTTGCTGGAAGTTTTTACTCATCTTGACACATTTTGTCTCAGAGTTTTTCAATATCAAAACAAATATTACAGCAATGCCTCAATAAGTAACTGTTGGCCTGGAAATTTAGCATGGGACTGAAGTGTTTAGCTAGTGTGAGCTAGTTAAAAGAACGCCCAGCTAGTACAAACTGTAAGAGAACTGGCTTGAATGTAATTTCTCAGCCCTGCAGTTGTTCTTTTTTTCCAGATTTAGCTTAAAGGTTCTTCTCTGTCTCCTACACTTAACCATGCAGAAAACATTTCACAGCAGATTTGCTAACCCAAATAAACCCAGGTGTTTTGCAAAATTCGGGTAAGCTGATCAACAGGAAAGAACCTGATCAAAGGGAAGAAAGATAACAAAACACACTAAGTGCATCATCTTTCCTTCAAATAGAGGGAACATTTCTATTTTAGTTCACCCAGTTCCACATATTTTGCAAGGCACAGGCTGCCATTATGTGAGTCTCTTCGGCATTGATATCTATAACCAAAAATGTTAGGCGTTTCAGTTATCCACAGACAGTACCTACTTCCTACGGTTATTATGGGCAGTACTAACACATCAGGAATTCTGAGTATGTTTGGGTGAACTGACACCAAATCCAAAGTTAGGAGCTCCTTACTATGAGTGTAAAACACGTGTGCCCAGAATAAATGGTAAAAACGATGCTGGCATTTAATAAATTCTCATTCAAATCACAGCTTCAGATGAAGCTCTCAGAATACAAGGTCTTGCTATATAACAAATAATAGACCTAACTTCCCACCGAGTTTCTGATATTTCAGAATCCTTTTGGCCATAGGAACACTACAACTTCACCAGAAATATTTGACAAATAGCCTGAAAAAAACACTGATCAATGAAGTGATGTATCTGCTAGATACTGAAATGAATTCTGTTAAGTTGTAGAAAGAACGATAGCCTGAATTTTCTTTTGACTCACAAACTCACTATTTAAGTGAAGACTATTAGGGGAATGTGTGCATTTTTTAATTACTGCTAGAAGGACTTTGTTGAGAGAAAACAAGAGGGCCAGAATGTTAAAACAAACAAACAAAAAACGAAAACACACCAACCAACCAAACAAAAAAGCCAAACACCAAGTAAAAGCATTATTTGGGAACAAACAGGTTAAATTTAATTAACCCTGTGTTGTGATCAAATTCACACAGGAGGAGGAGGAAATAGCAGGTAAGTGAAACCATGGCCAAACAAGCAAGCCAAACGCTGATTACATCCTCTCTAACGCGGAAAACAACTCGCTTTTCAACTTTGTAATAATAAGTAGCATTTCAAACAGCATATTCCACTAACACAGAGCAAAGGTATATAACAAAATTCAGCTGATAGCAAAACAGCACTCAAAACTGTAATAAGATTATTAAAGCCCAAGACTCCCTAGGTATGCCAAGACAAGTAACCTTGTGAGTTAACACTGCGCTGAGGAATAAAGTTCAAATAATCCGTATGAGGAAAAGGGGGGGAATAAGTCGCAGAGGGAAAGCATTACTTAAATATCTACCTCATCCTACAGGAACTGCCGAGTGCTCTGAAAGCAGAAGCAAAGCCCAGAGGAACCAGCCTAGCAAATGTATGCAAAGGCAGGCTTCCTACTTACCCTACGGTATGCACCATGATCTCTTTTGCCACCTTAGTAATTCCAAAGAATCCAGAATGATGTTACTTTTAAGGGAATATTAGAGTCGTTAGAGGAGACAGAGGCAAGCTGACAAGCAGATCTTTGCGAGAAGCCAGGCGGAGAGGGACGAATTTAAACCCTGGCTCAAGATGCTGCGTATTCTGCATCTATCTTTAACTTGTAAATGATTCGGTTTCACATTCCTCTGAAGTCCTGCTGGCAGATGCCTTTGCGGAGTTTTACCAATCGCAGGCACCCGGGCCCCCTCCCCTCCTCCCTCCCTCTCTCCCTCCCTCCCTCCCTCCCTCTCCCCCAAGCCTGCCACTCCACCCCCGTCCCCCCCATCCCCACCTCTCCTCCCATCCCTGCGCACACAGCCGCTTTTGGCAGGCAGGATTCCACCGCCCGCGCCGCCTCGCCAGCCGCCGGGCACCACCGGCCGCCCACCAGCCCCCCGGGAGCCCACCGCTCCCCGCCAGCCGCTCGACACGGTGCCTTCGAAAAACCGCCGTGGCACGGCCTGCCACGGTTCGGCGCGGGAGGCACCTTGCAGCGACTGCTTCTTCTGCCCGGTTAGGCCAAGGCTCCGGGTTCGCATCGCGGAGTCGCCGACTGAATCGCCGTCAGAGACGGGGACGCGAGAAAGCCCTTTCAGTAAGGGACGCCAAATGCAAGCAGCCGGAGGGGTGCGAGGGCTGGGCGACGGAAGCAATTCACCCGCTGCTGTATGAAGCTTCTGCAGAGACTCATATCTGGATGCTTACAGCGCTTCTGCCTGTGCAGAGAGCTTTACTGAGGAATGGCTTATAACAAACAAACAAACCAACGAACAAAATATTTTACCAAATCTGAAACACAAGGCTTCTAAATGTCCGCTCTTAATAAATCTGTGGCTCCTTACAATAACAATGCATTGCAATGATGTTCAGAAGCCAGACTCTTCAGTAACTAGACTACTGACTAATGGCAGCATCTGAAGAGATTGAAGTGGCGAAAAAAGTCCTTCCACATAACGCAGAAAGTCAGTACCCCTACCGAAGACTTCAGGAAACATTTGCGTTGACACGAACCCCTGGCTCTTAATATCAGGCTTGTGAAGCAGCTCGTTTTTAATTTGTAAATGCCCGTTCAGTTGAATACTGCTGGCCATCAAGACTGCCTTATCTCAGACACGGGTGGGAATGGAACAAGCCACAAGACTCTATATATAACACATATGAATTATTGAACACTTTCAGTTGAAACTGGAAAATATCAATTGACAGTCACACCAATTCAAACAGAATAACACGGTAAATGTCTCTGGTCTACAGCCACCGGCCTTTGTCTGAGCTGCAGCTGAGATGGTTTCGTACCCAGGGATGCAGCCGAGCAAGCAGCGAGCACAGGTTGGCGCCGGGGGGAGCAAGGTCAAGCTGTGCCCAGAATCACTTCACTAAAAACATGGTTCATAAATGCCTTGCCAACGTCCTGTTTGATGAGGCATTACACTTTTCGGAGCACCGGTGTTGAGAGGCTGGACTGATTTAGTAGCAAAAGTAACCATGCGTTTACTTCAGGCCAACAAAGGAAACGGCTCAAAATCAGAAAGGCCTAAAGGGGTGTAAAAAAATCATCCAAAGCGCTGTATCTTAATGTGCATGAAGTAAGCCTGCACTTCACCTCCCGCCAGCTACCCTTCATGATGCTGTTTGATAATATAGATCTAAATTCATATGTTTGACAACATAACATTATATAAAGCTTGATAAAACACAGTAACTCCACAGCCATTTTCATGGTCAGTCCCACAGGCAGGAAGGCAAGAGCTCCTCTTAACCTAGAATCAGCTTGGGTTCATGGGCCTGGAAAAGTTATCAGCAACAAACAAATAGTAAAGAATAAACTAGCAGACAAGACGACTGCTGAAAAGTTGAAAGATTTATCTTGAATCGCTAACCTTTCTTACTGTTAGCAAAGCCAGACCTCAGTATGTTTAATGCCTGCCTTATAGAGTGCTTTAAAAACTCCAGCAAGGGAAAAAACATGCCATGGATTTCCTGCCCGAGAGGGGAGATGTCACTTCACTTCTCGTTTGCCTTGGGTCCTAAAACGCTGTATTGCTGATACAAGGGTTCAGGGAACGTGTCTATTATTAAGTTTTAGGAGCTGCAGTGAATTGCAGGAAGGCTGCCTGGCATTGCTTTCCGACGGAGCCACCTCTAACACCAGCTTAAAAGTCTTCCGGAGCAGAGAAAGTCACTGAGCCACAGTGCCTCCCATTCAAATGAAGCAATTTCATATAATGCAATAAGAACACCATACCTCAAATCCATTTTTTTTCCAATTGTATGTAAGGATGCCAGACTGGAAGGGCAGATAATCGCTAGAAGCAGAGGCCAAGCATTAACAGTAGGTCTTAAAAAGCACAGTGCTTTAGATTCTCGGAGAGACAAAAGAGAAAGAACAAAGAAAAGTCGGGTCTTTGTGGCTGAAGGCTCCTTTTTAATTAGGGAAACAAGGAAGGAAGGAAGGAAGGAAGAAGCTCCCCATAGAAGAAAGTGTGATGGACAAATGTGGTGATTCAGAAGTGAAGTCACAAACAGGAAGGATTAAGACTGAGCTGTTTCTAGGACTTGAACCTACCTCTAGAGAGTGCTTAAGGGTGGGGAAAAACAAAGGCAGGGAAATCCACAGAAGCATATCCACACTTTTATCTAAACTTGTGTATTTCCCTTACTAGATATGGGGAAAAAGAGATTGGGTTTTGGATCCTCTGAAAGCGTTTGCTTCTCTTGTCTCTCAAGAGGTTATTTATAAACCTAAGAGTATGTGGCGGGTGGAGCTTTGGAAAATAGGATGCTGGAAATCACTGGGAAACCTCGGATGTCAACATGGACAGCAGGATCCCAATCCCATGAATGGGACAGTCAGAGGTCATATGCCCAAAAACTGTGCCACATAAGCCAAAGGAAAAGACAGGTGTCCAGTTTCCTCAGATGAAGAGATGTGCAATAATACCAGTGTCTAACGTGCAACACAAAGTGTTCAGCTGGGAGATGTTTGCCACAGCTGTACTCTTTCTCCCTCAGCAGGGTCTGTTGCTTATAACCATCACCAAATGTAATAGATCAGGGACCTCTGTGGCATTAGATCTGAGATAGATGAATACATATTAATAGCAAGTTCGAGTGGAGGAGCAGGAGTTGGAGCTGGCATGGGAGCAGAGGGGGGAGCGGCAGGGAGGGGACAGTGATTTGGTACCAGTGACAAGCGTAAATATGTAACGTGTTTGGAGCCGTGTGACTTCCTACCCATTCCCAATTTAGCCCAGTGCCTAAGAGGCATGGTCTGTTCCTTCACGTTTAGCTATTTTTAATGTGCACAGAGTTTGCTCTTTGTCTTCCCTTGTCTGCCAGTGTCTTGAATTCGTGTCCTGGCAGTCTTAGGATTTGGGCTTACTGGGACAAGCAACATCTTCTACCCTACAGGCTCAGTCCTTCGAGGTCTTACTCAGAGTAATTCCTGTTCTTAGGAATGATCTCGTTAATCTCTGTAGATTATTTCCGCACGGGTTTGTTTGTGAGCAAGAGCTCTGAGTAGGGGAGTGCCGTTGCGCTGACAGGAACGCAGTTCCTGCCTGTCAGAGCGGATCCAGCACACCGGGTTTACTCCACATTATCCAATCTACACACCCATCCCCTCCCCAGGCTACCCCAGCCTTGCCTACTCAGCTACATGGCTACCCCGTGAGCCCCCTCCAACACGGTCCAACAGGTAGGGCTTGGCCCAGCTTTGACCCAAGCGACTCCCACTTACCACTTCTTTACTGGAAGAGATGGGAAACAGCTACTGAAGCTGGTGGGGACGGGGGGCTCTTGGTGGCACCCCCCAGCACCCACTGCCCTGCCACCCCCATGACGCAGCCTCTGCCACCTCTTGGGTACCTCTTGCTCTGGAAGGCAACCCAGAGGACTGAGATGGGCTTACGTGGGGCAGAACACTGCCCTGGCCCCCAGCACCAAGTCTGACAGCTCCAGGGAAATATATTCCAACTCCCCCCTCACCAAGTCTAATCCTCCTTCTGTTTTCAGGAGGCTCACTGGGTAATGGGAGGAGGCTCAGTCACTAAAAAAGTTCAGATGGGTTAGCTCCACTCTTTGCAAAATACATTCAAATTGCTTGAATTCTTGGTAGTAAATGGGGAACGTATTTGGTGCGTACGCCGTGAGCAATTCTGCAGCAACAGCGGATATTCTGTGTTGGTTTTTCTGGTTTTGTTTTTTACATTTCTGTGATTCAAGCTATGTGGGAAGAATGGAGAATGTCCATGGTCATACATCTAAGCTTCAGAAAAAAAATCATATTTTCAGTCAATCCATTCTACTGAATAATAATAATAAAAAAAAAATCCATTATTTACTTTTAAACATTTCTTTCTTTTTTTTTCCCAAGTCTTGTATTTATAGTTTGCTACAGTTTTTTGGGCAAACCCATAGTTTAAACCAGTTTTTATCATCATGTATAAGCATGTCTCATCTACAAGAGCCAGGACATAAAGGCTCTGGGGCTTTATTTTTCTGCACACAAAAAAGTAGGTACATTAATTATGAACAATTAAGCAAGTTATGAAAAATTCTGTGCACTTGTCTTGTTCTCTGCAAAATCAAGCCATTACTTACCAGACACATTTTCAAGTTTACTTGAAAAATACCTAAGAGGAGAACTAGAACAATTCTGCTTCCATTTATCTTTAATCCAAACACTAAATACAGGAAAAAGACTGCTCTTTTTGTTAGATGTCCAAATTGACCAGCAAAATTAAGATCTCTGAGATATAATAAAGAGAATTTTGTAGATAAGTGGTTTAATTTTACCATACTAAAAGGATAAGTATTTTTCTAAAAATAATTTTTTAACAAGACAGGTAAACTTAATCACACACAGTGCTGAGCCCTGGAAAAGTTTTTCCTGGCCCGATGGCGCTCATGGATAAATAAAAAGGTTGTATCGTCTACTAGTGGCTTGCTACCTGAAAACAGTCTGAACTTCAAAGGTTTGAAGTGACAGCTATAGTTCGTTAAAGTTGCCTGGTGAGCAGTGCACCTAATGAAGATTGTTTTCCTAAGGATTTATGATCCTTTGTTATTTACTCCTCCCA